CAGGGAGGTTTTTCCTGGGAAATTCCTGGGGCAGGGAGGTTTTTCCTGGGAAATTCCTGGGGCAGGGAGGTTTTTCCTGGGAAATTCCTGGGGCAGGGAGGTTTTTCCTGGGAAAACGCCGTTCCTGAGCCGGCTGCTTTGCAGAGCAAACTGCCGGGATCGCCCCTGATCCTCATCGCGTCCTCCGGCCCCGCCAGCTCCGTGTTCCCCACGTCCCGACGGCAGCGCTTCTGGCAGTCGCAGCTCTCCTGCCTGGGGAAGGTCTGTGGGGTGGGGCTGTGGGGCTGGATGTGTGGGGCTGGATCTGTGGGGTGTATCTGTGGGGCTGGATCTGATGTCCCCAGCCTGCTCTGGTGTCCCCAGCCCTGCTGACTGTCCCTGATGTCCCCAGCCCCGGTGTGAGTGGTGTCCCCTGTCCCCAGCCCTGCTCTGGTGTCCCCAGCCCAGGTGTGACCGGTGTCCCCTGTCCCCAGCCCAGGTGTGACCGGTGTCCCCTGTCCCCACAGGTGTGACCGGTGTCCCCTGTCCCCAGCCCAGGTGTGACCGGTGTCCCCTGTCCCCAGCCCAGGTGTGACCGGTGTCCCCTGTCCCCACAGGTGATCCCCATCTCCACGTCGCTGCTGAACAATGGCAGCGGGGTGGGGGTGCTGCAGTGCCTGGAGCACATGATCGGCGCTGTCAGGGGCAAGGTGGCCGAGGTGAGGGACACACCTGGACACAGCTGGACACACCTGGACACCCCCTGCACACACCTGGACACACCTGGACACCCCCTGCACACACCTGGACACCCCCTGCACACACCTGGACACACCTGCACACCCCCTGGACACACCTGGACACACCTGGACACCCCCTGCACACACCTGGACACGCCTGCACACCCCCTGGACACACCTGGACACACCTGGACACACCTGGACACCGTGTACACCCGAACACCTTGTACACCCTGCATACCTGCACACCTGTACACACTGCACACGCCTGCACACACTTGTACACCTCCACACCCTGCACAGCTGTACACTCTGCATACACCTGCACACCTGCACACACCTGTACACCCTGCACACCTGTACACCTGTGCACAGCACACCTGGACACACCTGGACACTCCCTGTACACCCTGCACACCTGCACACCCTGCACACTCCCTGTACACTCTGTACAGCTGTACACCTGCACACACCCCACACACCTGCACACCTGCACACCCTGCACACCTGGACACCTGCACACACCTGCACACCTGGACACCTGCACACACCTGCACACCCTCCACACCTAGACACCCGCCC